ATTTACAGCACACAGCAGAACACAAGTAAAATTCATTCACCAAACACCTGCCTAAATAAAAATGTTTTAAGCTGCCAGCAGAAAGAGAGAAGGGAGGAGGCTGACCTGATCTTCTGTAGAAGGGAGTTCCACAATCTGAATAAATTCAGCTTTTTAGTCTGAACTTTTGTCTTGGGAATAGGGTTCAACACCTTGGATAGTTCCTTTCAAGTTAGAACTAAAATCCTGTGTATGTTCAGTGCTCCCAATATGTGCAAACCACCAATGTCTCTTGGGTTCAAGAGCAACAAAGCGATACAGGTGAAATGACACATTAAAACCATAAAAAGGTACTCCTTTGTAGTAACACATTCTTCTATAGGATCCTGAGTTGTTGTAACTGGAACTATAAGAATGATGACATGATGATTAGTTGATTTGAACATACCAATGATGACCAAAAGAATTATCTTCATTTTTCAGAGACTAAACAGAATTCATATCTGACAGTTTATTAAAAAAGCAACAACAACAGGCAATGTCTTGTAGTCAAGTTACAACACGTGTCCTGTGCTTATGTACTTGCAGGAGAATTTGCGTGCTTATTCAGGGTAGAGAGAGGGAGGAATATGTACTACTGTTCTAATTCAGCAAGGTTTAGAACTGAAGCAGGTTTAAAGAGGTGGGGGAGCTAGGGAGACATGCAATGAATGTACTTTAGAGTGAATTATAGGGGAAAGAACAGAGGCAGTCAGTGGTATGGAAGTCCTATGAGAAAAATTTGAAGAACAAAGGTATGTTTAAGCTGGAAATCTTGGGGGCAGCATGAGAACAGACATCAGATACTTGAAAGTCTACCACTCAGAAGAGGGCAAATACATTATCTCTGCTTTCCCAGGGGCAAGACTAGGTAAAATAGGCTGAAGTTACATAGCACTTTATCACGCAGGATTTTAGTTCCATAGGACTTTAGTTCCATAGGACTTCATCACATGGGGGAAATCCCATGCAGAAACGGGTTTAAATTGGAAAAAAGTGAGTAGATGAAAGCAGGTAGATTTTCACACGTCGATGTTAAGCTGTTGTCAATCCAAACAGAAAGTAGTCAAAAGCCGCTTCTTTTTACTTTCAGAAAATACTGAAAGTAAAAATGAGCAACTTTTGATTACTTTTTGTTTGGATTAACAACAGTTTAACAGCGATGTGTGTGAAAATCAACCCGCTTTTGTGGGTTTCCCCCAGCTTTTAAACCCCGTTTCTGCACAGGATTTGCCCTGTGTGATAAAGTCTTACATTAGAATAAACTTCTTCATGGGTGACAATGGAACCAATTGCTTTTAACTGTACTATTGTGGAACATACAATTTTCAATTGTATATTTTATTTAACTTTTTAAAAGTAATTATTTCTTAATTTTAACCTTTTAAAACATTTCAGCTATATTGTATTTGTTGTAATTTGTAAGCCACTTTGTGTCTCAATTTTGGGGGTAAAGGTATGATATATATTCAGTTAATAACAATTGATAATAAATGGGGCAGCAGGTTATCTCTCCATGGAGGTCTACAAACAGAGGCTGCACATCCCTCTGTTGACCATGCTATAGCTCTGGTTTTTGGCATTAAGCAGTGGGCTGGATTGGATAACCTCCAAGAACCCTTGCCTATCTATATCCTTTTTGATATATTTATTAAAATATTTCTGTTCTGCTTTTTATCATGGGATCTCAGGGTGACATAGAACATAATTAAAAAACCCAATTATCTGAAACAAGATTAAAACATTACACAAAAGGATCTTGTAGCACTTTTGAGACTAATTGAAAGAAAAAAGTTGGTAGCACGAGCTTTTGTAGACTTCGGTCAAGCTCATGATACCAAGTAATTCAGTCATGTTTTGGCTCAGCACCAGAATGAAGCCACTATTGCTGCCACTTTTCCCATGGAAGAATGTTCCACAAGCATGGTGCCACAACCAAGAAGGCCCTATTCCATGTTCTCCTCCAGTTGGTATGTTCTCTGCTGATGGGACACAGAGGAGGGCCCATTTTACCTCTATTCTCAGGCAGATAGATATATGGAAAGGTGATCTTTCAAGTATTAAAGTGCCAAGCCATTTAGGGCTTTAAATGTCATCAGCAGCACCTTGAATTCAGACCTGAAATGAATCAACAGCCAATGCAGCTCTTTCAAAACAGGTGCTATATGTTGTCTGTAGGATTCTATGATTCTTGCATTTATATGCACAGGTTTCTAGTAGTTGGGGTGGAGATAGGAAGGTGCTATTAAGAAAGGGACAAGCTGTCATGCATTATGACTAATTGTTAAGATCCCAGTGACTAGTCATGCAGAGAGAAGTTTGCTCTGCATAGAGGTTAAGGCTATCAAAACCTATTGGATATGATGGCTTCATCATCGTATCAATTATCTAGTGTTACTTGGGAATGTTCCTTTTTTGGACTATAACTAGCAGGCTCCCCCAGTAGTATCCGGTTGCAGAATTCTGGGAGTGGTACTTAAGAAAAATAATTTTTTCAAACTCTGCTTATTTACTGAGAGACATGAGTGTGAGGGTATTCTACCCACATCCTGCTTTTTGGCTTCTCATAGACAACTGGTTAGCAACTCTGAGAAGAGGAAAGGTGGACAGGCTAGTCCATTTGTCTGATCCAGTGTGTCTCTTCTTTTGTTCTTATGTTAGGACAAAATAGCTCATAGTAATGGTTTCACTTAGATGGTTGCTTTGATTTATAATGGTGTTCTTGTTGTTTTCACTTCAGGAGTGCCTAAAACATGCAGACTGGAAGCTGATGAAGGACACTGTAGAGGTTTAATTCAGAAATATTTTTTCAACCTCAAGACAATGAGTTGTGAGAAATTCTACTATGGAGGATGTAATGGAAATGAAAACCGGTTTGATGATGAAGAATCCTGCATGGACACTTGCTTGCCGATTAAAAGTAATTACCATTTTAACGCTGGAAAAAGAGTGATCAGTTTGAGTGGCAAGGGTGGGTGGGCAGGGGTGGGAAGTCTGAATCTTTACTCACTACACTTACCTTCTCCACCATGAGCAATGGAATAGCTTGAATGTATTGAGGGCTTTGCTATGCAGTGGCTTCAAGGGAGAAAGTAATTTCTGTGCTGACCTTTATTAGGAGCTAAAAGTCATGTTCCTGGTTTTGATCATTGGAGACATCTCCCTCCCAATCCCAACACCGCATTTTCAGATATTTATAACAAGTGGGATATTTTTAGCTATGTGTCATCCAAATTTCAGCTTTCTTGGCTGATCTGGAAATACCTCAGCTCTTTGGGAATACATCAAGTCCCACCTTCTGAGGATTATTACATGTTCTATTTTTCAGGTTAATTGTAATACTTGTAGATATAAAATGTATGCTATATCTTAGGTCTGGCTCATTAGGAAATACCTTAACAATTTGTGTGTACAGAGAGGTGGCGTTTCCTCACAGGATGAAATGCATCTTGTGTGCTTTCTGTGTTATTTATGATAGAAAACAAAGGTTGAGCTTTCCATTTTAATTATCGATTAAAAAGTAAATGATGAATCAACTAAACATTCTGTAGCCTGGTGACAACTCCAGTTCATTGAGGGTTGCACAGAGTAATATTTCAGCAAATTTATTTTTGAGAAAAAAACACCATAATTCTCTACTTAATGTGACACAAATCTTTCTTTGTAAACTCTGAGAGTGAGTAGGTTTGCCATCACATGCACACTTTTCTCTGTACTTAGAGAATGGAGAAATCTAATTCTGCAAAAACATTGAAAGAGCAGGTTTAACATCTCTTTTCTTTCTTCTGATAGAGGTCTTATAGCAGAGGCAGGGGTGCATTCACACTACACAATTACAGTGCTATGGAATCCTGGGATTAGCAGTTTAGAGCTCTAGTGCCTCACTGGACTAAAAGTCCCAGGATTCCATAGGACAGAACCATAGCCCTTGCTACACACAGCCATGAAAGCAGCAGGATAATGTGATAACCATGCATTTGATTCCCTTCTTCCGCATGATGATGTTGCTATTTTGTGGTTGAAACATGGGCAACTGTAGTAAAAGTGGATCTTTTTACTCTCAGGAAAAATCCATTAATTATTTTCTTTAGCATTAATGTCACATATGATTTGCAGTATGAAAGTTCAATAGTGCTTTCCTGCCAATTTTTCCTGGTCAGTGCGCAAACATGAGGAAATGGAAATTCAGCCCCCTTCTAGAGTCATGCTCTGTCCTTTAAATGCTTCACTCACTCACTCACTCACTCACATAGGACCTTATCCCACGGGGCCAAAAGCAGCAAGAATCCACTAAGAATCAGGCGCTATAGCGCTATACATTCCCGGGTGATCACACGACGTCGCTCAGAATCGGCTAAGAATCAGGCGCTATAGCGCTATAGTTTTCCGGGTGATTACACGACGTCGCTCAGAATCCAACAAGAAACCGCTCGGAATGCAGCATCATTCGGGTTCTTTTGAATGTCGGTTTCAGCGGGCATTGCAATAGCGCTAGCTTATCCATAGCGCTATTATAGCGCTAGCGCCATATTTATACTAGCGCTATAGTACTGCAATGATGCTCATATCGCTTTCTTGCCACTTTTGAGAGCAGCGTGGGATAAGGTCCATAAACACAAACCTTTGCCTCTTTTCCTCCATCCTCCTCCCTTATCCCTGCTTTCTTCTGAAAGCTTCCTTCCTCTCACAAGCAGCCACATTGCTTTTCCAGGGAATGGATCAGAAGGGGGAGAGAGAAAGCAGAAGAGGTGAAGGCAGTGCAATGAGGTTTGGGTGCTATCAGGTGTTTTAGGGGGGTTTCAGACTGCCAGAAATAGTGCAAATTGAGTCCA